TGATGCCATGTTAAAAGCACCACACGGTCCGTGGATCATGTGACTGGTAACAATATCGAACAATTCTGAGTCAGTTAGTGGATCCGGAATTTCGGCAGAAATTATTTGGTCAATTTCTTCTGGACGAATTTTATCTTCAAGCAAAACCAAAATATGAGAATGAGGCAAACCTCGCTTTTGCCACTCAATAGAATACAGCCAGCCAACGTGTGTTACCAAAAACTGAATATTTTACGATTAAATTAATTAAAGATTTTAACTTTTGTTTAAACACACGTGTAACGATATCGTGACGATGTATTATGTATTGATTGTTGGCCTGGTAATAACAAACTTTTTATTTCTTCCCCATTTTGGATTAAACGTAAATGTAACAAAATAATCAGGTCGACCGTAATGACGTACATAAGTCATCGCATCTTGTATGTATTCCTGCATGCTCCGTGGACTGCCGATGTAGCTTGAAGGTAAAATACATGCAGTTCCGATGTCATTGGTGTTTAAATTTTCATCGATGTTTCCGATGATAGCATCTCGTAAATGGATGTATTCTTCTGATCTTAATTTAGCCTGGTTGTATCTAATATACCGTAAACGTTCACTTTCGATCTTAGCAAACATATCCACAACATATTGATGGAATAGTTGACGATATCGAAGGATATAATTATCTTGATTAAGTCTAATCATCAATCGATGCGCGTAGTAGTTCATTGAACTTACTTTTTTATTGATTTCATTACCTAAAAAAAATGAGTTATTAAATGGTTATAAAAATTAAGAATAAGAAATTAAAATCACCAAAATAATTTATTAAATAGTATAGATTATTAAACGTTCCAGTGATTGGATCACGCTGTTTGATGTTGATGTGATATTCATCCTGCACTTGCCAGAATATTAGGGGATACTGAAGTGCGTCATACGAACGATGAAGGTCTGAAATTATATGAACAGTGCTGTCTCGACGTATGATTTTGAGGTCTCTGTTGTTAACTGGATCACCAACCATAATAACAGCAACTTCATCTACGGTTGGTGCGTTGAACCTCCCAGCGTGTTCTCCTGCAGGTACTTTGTCAGCTTTGATGACAATTTGATAATTATAATTTCTTAATTGAGGCAATACTCTTTTAAATAATTGGATAAGTTGATTATAATTTTCAAAAAATTTTTCCGAAGATTCCACAATTGCTCTCTCTTCTGCTTGTTCGATGAAATTATGCAGGCACCGAGTTGTTACGCGTTCCTCACAACTGCCCATAAAATAAATTTGGAGAAACTTTGGATCATCATTAGGCATTGGCATTAATGACCCAATCTTGTGGTACACTTGGCCTTGGATTTTGAACGTAGTTACAAAATTATTTCCATCAGATGTGAGGTCGCAAATTTTAGTTGCGCCAAAGGACGTCATTTGGAAGCAAGAATTGAATTTGCGTGTCTTACGTAAAAATAATTTCGAATCGTCTGATTCGCCAGCAAGAAATGATTTTAAAGGTTCCGGTGGAATAGGAAGAGGTGCCAGTACAAATTTTCCAGAAGCACAACACATAACAATCGTTTCATTGCGGAATTTTAACGCTTGACAATATTGGCATATTTTATCCATTGCACCAATTATAATTTTAGTATGTGCAGAGTAATTGATATCTGGTGCATATTCGAACGCAAGGCGAACGAATGATGCACGTGTTAATGCACGGTTGGTTTGTTGTCGCTCTCTGTCAAGTTCTCTAAATGTGGCTATGTGCCGTTCTCGCGCCGATCTTGTTCTCAATACATTTTGTCGTAGACGTTCATCACGCTGTTCTCGAGACTCTTGTCTGCGAATTTCTGCTGTTCTGATTTGTTGAGCTGCGTTTTTTGCTGCAATTTGTTCTTCCGATTCATGAGCTCTATTAGCACGCATACGTCGTGCATTTTTACTATACTGATTGTGTAGGTTAGATTTCCGCGGCATTATACTAAATTTAAAAAAAATTAAAGAATATTCAATACTGAACACTGCACAATAATAACACAATACCAAGTATTTATGGTTAGTGTGTAGGTAAAGTAAAATACGAAAACACTAAACCGGTACAAATTAAACTATATAAATAAAAATAACAAACAAAACTCGAGACGGCGCGATTAACTCGATAATGACTGACTCGGTCAGATTGTTGCGCTTTATATTAACTGATGAATACGTCGTACCGAACTTCGCATTTTATACCTTTGAACATTTCTCGAAAATTCTATAACTTTCTTCATTACAACAATTGCAATGCAAAAAATAATATTGAGATAAAAACTATCCTATATATTTATTACAATAATTGCAATGCAAAAAATAATATTGAGATAAAAACCATAGGTTAGGTTAGTTGTATAATTCTCGGAACAATTCATATCTACACGCCACCGACGATAAAACACACACAATAGAAAAAAGGTCAGATTACAGGTAGCTATATAGATACTGTCGCGATCGGTCACGGGAAAACCCGAAATACACCATGCAATTATACACATTTATTAAAAAGTTAATTAAAATATTTAAAATATTAAAAAATTTGAAAAAAAAACTATCCTATATTTTAAGTTGGACCAAATTACACACGGTGTAAAAAATTTCATCAAAATCGGTCCAGTAGTTTCGGAGATTATCGCGAACATACATCGTGACACGAAATTTTTATATATACAGAGAAGATTTTTAAACCAAGTACGCATTGCATGTCCAAGATGGCTGAAAGCATTATGGTTTGTCTTTATAATAAGTTTCAATAGTATTGAGTTGACTAAGTATAGCTGGTATTTTGTTTTTTAGCCCTTCTGTACTTTCTTTGATTAATTGTAATGATACTTCACCTCTTGTCATATGCTCAGCTATTTGTACACATGTCGATTGTATCACTTCTACTTGTTCTTCTTGAACTTGAAGGGATTTATGATTTTCTAAATATTCGATTTTATCCAATTTAGACGTAAATGATTTTATCGTCTTTTCGAGATTTATTATAAATTTATTTGTTTCACTAGCCTGAGAGGTTCCGAACACGTTCATGTCTGTAGTTAGACTGATACTATTTTTTAACATCAATCGTATTTATCCAACTATTATGCGTATCATCAAACCCAAGCCATTTAACAAAAATTTTGTCCCCTTTCCTACGGATAATTTTCTATACTAAGTAGTCATTCGGATAATTTATTTTCAATAATTCTTCTGAATAAAAGCAACCGGCGATAGGTCTTCCCATATAATCTTGTAGTTGATAAGTAATAGGTAAAGTTTCATTTATTTTCACAATTTTAAATATTTCTGTAGACCAGCTGGATAAATAACCTTTCGTAAATAACCCTATATATGTGCTTACACGAACGTTATCACCAATGTTAAATTTGACTTTCCCATTAATAATTTTTCGTTGTTTAATTACGACGGTCATTGGATCTGCATCAGCTTGCACTGGTGTCATGCCTATGGTTCTGTGTTTTGAGTTGTTATACTCGTTAATCAGTTTCGGTAAAATAGAAAACCACTTGTGCGAACCCTGCGCCGTAAATTCTCTAAACATTTTTTCTTTCAATGTGCGGTTAAAACGTTCAATAATGCATGCTTTCGTGATGCTAAAAGTTGAATACTTCAGTGGCGTATTTACGGGGGGGGGGGTTGATATGGGGGATAGATCCCCCCCTTGACCTTTTTTTTTTTCCTAGGTAGCTATAAGTTGTCTCATTTTCTCTAATATTCTTAATATGATATTACTTTTAAGCATGTATGTTTTCTGTTTTCTAAATGTTCTAGTCGTGGTAATTGTACCGCTTTGATAGTCTGATATACTAATCGCCACTAATCGTTTATCGTTGGCGGCACGTACGACTATCAGGCATATACCTATATTATGGTGTACTGTATTTTGTACGTTTCTGCGAATTATTTTTCATGCAAGAGTGTTTATAATAAACCCGATAAGCAATCGGTAAACAAAACAAAATGACCATGAAGATCGTGGATTAACCATAGGGCGGCCGGGCGGGTTTATTTTTAGAAAATTTGTTACTAGTAGATTTATGACTAATGTATAGCTATATATATATATATTTTATCTTATGATATCGTGATTCGTTAAAAGTAGATATGTACGGTCATTGGACGTTGACGGATAGCGACGCCGCGCCATTCCGAGTACTGACTTACTGCCGAATTGACTATTGTTCGACTTTATTTTTTGCGTCTTGTAAGTTGTAACTGTGAAGTTTTAAGACAATATGAGTAATATTCAAAAACAAAAAAAAACTTTATTTTCTTATTTTAGTACAAATAAAAAAATTTGTTTGGAAAATGATGAGGTAATTATAAAGATTAATTCTTATTTTGCCTTGATCCACACTAACCTCAATAGGTAACAAGTTAGGGGATTTTAAAAATGTATATTATGTACGAATTAATGGGTGTTAGGATGTATTATTATATATTTCATCCCCCCCCTAGAAAAATTCCTAAATACGCCACTGGAATACTTGTATATGTTATACTTCTTCATCAACGCGTCGAATGTAGAATTATAAAATTCTTTACCGATATCGAGCTGTAATAATTTTGATGCGCGTTTAAGCAGTATTTTCGACATTGCACTGGAAACTTCTTTGGCAGTTTTAGATTTTAATGCTATTGCCCAAGCAAATTTTGTAAAACAGTCTATAACGCATAGAATATATTTGTATCCCTTGTTTTGCTTTGAATATGGTATCATTTCGACCAAGTCGGCTTGCCAAAGATCGTTTTTGTCATGAACATTAACTCTACCTCTTGTGTAATTTTTTCTAGCAGGTTAGTGTAGTTCTATAGCGATATCCCGTTTAGACATTTGGAATACGTTTTATTATTCCGGCTTCGTATAATTCCTCGTAAATAGATATTATTTCGTTGGAAACGCCTGTATTACCAGCAGCTTGAGATGCTAAGAGTAATCGCAATCGATCGACAATCTCGTTAGGATCGTTCCAATATACTAAATTATGTTTTTGTAACTTTATAGCCAGTCCACTGCCAGATGAAAACAATTTGATAATAATGTTTTTATATTTATCCCTACCACTTTTAATCTTTGCACCGTTTAAGGTTAAATGCGCTGAAGTTTGTACTAATATCGATTTATATTTTTCTAACTATTGCTGTGTATAATGATATGGATATTTTGAAAACAATAAACTCACAAGTCCTGGTGTAAGAATATATGTCACCCCATCAATAACTAATGTATTTCCAATGAATTTTATTATTTTATTACCTAGTTGAATGATTCCATTTGGCAGTTTTTTTGGACCATATGTTTTATCTTTAGCTTGAGAATGAAACCAGCTCTCAATGTCTGGATTTTCTAAAAATTCTACATCCTCATATTTTGGCTCGGTTGAAACTTGTTGGTTTGTTAACTGTATAGCTGATATTTTTTCTAGAGGATAAATTATAGCTTTTAACGTTCTTGATACAATTGTTGTAGCTTCAGCGTCTCCAAGTTTTAACGCAGAGTATTTTCGTCTGATATTTTCTTTTGCTTTAGCTAATTCAGCTATAAGCATGCCTTCGGAAGTCATGGCTTCGACTGTTTCAATATGTATGTTACATCGCTTTATATAACAACAAATGTGTCGAACCCATGTCTATACCGCCCGTTATCACGTTCGCAGTCCTTACTTATAACGATAAATTCGAATCGTCCTTTTCCCCAACAAGTTGTACA